ACTAAGCAACTGTTCCTTGCAAATCTGACCGGCAGAAGGCCCAGGGTACGGCCAAGACTAACCTGGTGCAAATCTATGGGGGGAGTTAGTTCCAGACTCCATTTGTCTTTTGCCGAAACTCAGTCTCTGGCACAGGATCGGGAACGTTGGAAGCACTGTCTGACGCGTCTGCCTCCGCGACCCGAAAGGAGAAGCGGCGGTGGAAGATGAAGAAGAATACTCGTGAAGAATATGTAATTAGGGAAAGTATGCAGGTTCTAAGAAATAGTTTCCTGGTTCCTTTGGAGGAACTTGGCTAAGTTGGACGTTTAGGAAAAGTGCTTCTCATCGTACATTAGTGATTTTTTCCCGCATGTGCATCGCGTTGTAGACTTTCATCTGTGGCGAGACTTGAAAAGTTTGTGCTGAGAATTGTGTCTATCTTTTGATTCTTCTGCGGCAGTTGACTAATTTACAATAGGAGAACTTCTTGGGCGGGATAACACTGATTGATGAACCATTTTCCTCTGATCAGTTTTGAACAGAAGCGACTCTGAACAAAGACCTTGCTAGATCATCTACTGAATTAATTGCACATAGTTCCAAAGTGTGACCGGTAGATTTCTTACATTTATTGTTCAGACAAAGTTTCATATTAAATTAATTACGGCATTAAGGATCGATAATTTGATTCGTGCATTGTTGTTCATGCTGAAAACAGCACATAACACGGTTTATTTACAAACAGAGCGAAAGCGTTGCTCCATCGGATGATTGAAAGCCCTCTGGCTTCGAACTTCTTCGAACTGCTTCAAACGATCAGAGGGAGTCTTGATGCTGATTTACCTCTTTGCCTTGAAAAACACCCGTAAAACACAGGTAGCAACGTCGGAACTGGTCACTCGTCTTCGCAAACATGGACGCTGCTCAAAACCTATGATGTCAGCTCATTTCCACTGATCTCATTTCGATATCAGGTTGTAAACTACACTTGCTGTCAAGATTCTTCATCGACAACAGATATCCGTTTGGTTTCCTCTGCGATGCGATGTGCTGGCCACAGACAGATCTTTCGTTGTCCATGTTTGGGGGTTCCCCGCTAAACAGCTGACGAATCAGTGAGGCTTCATCGCTTCGTTGCAAATGATCGAACCGTGCCAGCCGTCTGTATTTCGCATCTCAGCACTTTCAATACGTCGGTCGGTCGGTCGGTCAGAGTGGCTGGCAGCTTCAAAACTCAGACCGTGGCAGAACCACTTGATCTTCAACAACGGCCAGTTCAACAGCGCTGTTGTAGGCTGTCTGGTCGATGTGCTCGTGTGCTGTTCTGATCGAGCAATTAGGTATAGAAGGGCGCTTCGATTCGTTGCCAGTTTCAATAACAGGTCGTCGCCGTCGCTTCCCAACCCATCGTCCAGGGCAACGATTAAAGAAGACGAAATAAAATCCCTTATTTACTGACGCTTTTCGATGCCTAGCGCTAGGTCTTTGCATTGTGAATAAATAGACAGTTTTGTGTCGCTTTCGTTAGGGATCGATGAGCGTTTTCAGTGCTAACGAGCAGTCATGCTCAAATTACGAACGACACCGCTTCGCCGTTACGGTAAGCGGGTTTCGTGCTATCGCGAGTTTCTCCATGCCTTGATCTTCAGGTT